AAACTTCACTCGGTTCAGTTCGACGACCGAGACTGTGAATTTGATAAACGAAATTGGAATTTTATCGATGCGAATTGGATTAAACTTACGAGCGGTAGTGTACATATTTAAAATTCGTCAGAGAAAAATGTGAACTTGTAATTTTTCATGGAAATTGATCGATGACTGTTAGATACAGAGATTATGGAAGAAACGAAGTAAATTAGTACTCACTTGAACAAAGTAGAAGAGGCACCAAGCGATGATAGTGTTGTAATACAGGGCTACATTGAAGGAAACTACGGCACTGCTCACACCGATCCCGCCCATATACGGAGAAACCTTTTTGGGAAAAAAAAAGAATGATGTATCATTTGTGAAAGTGTTGGTAAATTTGTTTCGACAGATTGTATCCTGTACACTGTTCAACAATCACCTGATTCCAAACACCGATAGCGCCCTTTCGTAATCTCTGGCCAATTGCCAGTTCCAGATAAAATATGGGAATACCCTCGATAGCCAACATTACAAAGTAAGGGATTAAAAATGCACCTGTTTCGAAACACGTAAACAAATAACAAACGGTTAATTTGCACCTTTTTCATATTAACGAAAAAAAGAAAATTACTTAAATTACTCTGTGTTTTTACAAGTATCAACAGATACGATAACTTCAATTCAATTTAATTTTTATTTCAACGAAGTGTCCAATTTTTTCCGACGAAGTATATTTTTACAAACAAAAGTTTTTACTGAAGTTAAAAATATGTTATGTTTACAGAAAGAAAGAAACATCCAACGCACCTCCACCATTTTTTTGAGCGAGATACGGAAATCTCCATACATTTCCAAGCCCCACGGCGTATCCAACGGTTGCTAATAGAAAAGTAAGCTTACTATCCCAATTTTCTCTTTCGTCCTCCCCCGCTTCCGGTCGAAAAATCGCTTTTCCTTCATTACTCCCGAGCTTATTGCCTCCGCCCCCATTCCCCGTTTTATTCTGTAATAGGAAGAAATGTCAAATGCCGAATTATTTGTTTCAGTTCAAACGAAGTGTATATTCTCAAGCGCATTCACTCATCTGCAAATATCAATCTTATTTTCTTTTGCTTCAGACCGTCAAATATAAATTTACCAGTAATTTAAGACGTGGTAAATTTTATGTAATTAATTTTCCTATCAACACGTCAATGCAACACTTCGCGATATGCATAAATAATACGTCAACATTTAGAAATAAAGGTAAAATAAATAATAATTAATTAATATTAATAAAAGTAAAATAAAATTTTACAAATATTACCGTTTATTCAAATTAAATACTTTCACTAATCTTGCATTCAACGTGTTAAAAATGAATTGCTTTTTTTTCTCTTCCAGCGAACAGATCGTGGATACACTTACTTTCGTGTTAGGACTGGAGTCCTCAAAGGCTGCGTTCGTGGCCCCGTAATTGGCAGTGGTGATAGTCTTTCTACTCTCCACCACTAATCTTCCTCTCATTTCCTTCATTTCGAGTTTGTCCACGCTTTTCTGGGGTTTCAAATCGCGCGAGCTTTGCCGCCGGACGAGATGGGCCGTGTTCGCCATTCTTTCTCTCTATTGTACGACCACGGATTTCTTTCTTTGCAAAGATCAAACGGAAATACCACACACGCCTATGGACTCCATCCTGCTGGGACAAAATCTCTGTTACGTAATTGCTGCTCGACGAAATCGTGACAAAGCGCACATTGCTCTTATAAAAAAAAAAGAAGAAGAAGAAGAAGAATAGCAAAGAATCGATGGAAAAGAAATATACAACGTTTGAAATATATTCGTGAATGTTAAATGAAAAATGAACGGGCGTATTTTAGGCATTCGATAACAGAAAATTTCACGTTGCGATTAAATACAAAAATTTCCGTTCGATATGCAAATTTTATATGCAGTTCGATATACGAATGACGCGTTTAATTACTTCTAGTTTCGAACATCGGTATTATTAAATTTGAAATTTCACGTTCAATCGTTTGATCAGTGACGGAACTAATATTAAATAATATTGAACACAGATCGCGCGTAATAAAGATTAATTTTCTACCTTTGCGAGTTCGATAATGATAACAGTGCAACGATATGTCTCTAGCTTTCGTTAAGTATTACCCGGCCGTTCGCGTAGAAATCGCGAGAGAAAGGAGACGGGTATTTTCATAGAATTAAATTCGTTTCGAATAAGTACACTCGTTACTTTTATTCTGTCGTTAAACACGAGAAAGGACTACAGTCGCGTGTTTAAGGTTACGCTTCATAAATTCGACACATTAACACTCCCAACTTTTCATTCGTTTCACGTGCACACCGATCGAAGTTTTCCGTATGAAAGAATTCCAGGGGAAAAAGATATTTTCGACAATATTCAATATTTCCATCTCGATGATCGATTCTTCGCTATCAATTATTCAAATTTCTTCGAATTATCTACAAATAAAGCTTATTGAGAAAGCTTCTATTTTATTCGGGAAATTATAGCGTTGTCAGCGGCAGATAAACATTTGACCGAATTTACGATTAATCTGGACAATTTATGTAATACCGAACATTGTCTGTAAATTCTACAGAGAACGAGATAGTTCGAGGTAAACAATAG